TTATATAATAGATCTTATGGTAGGACATAAATTGGGAGAATTTTCACCTACTATAAATTTTCGAGGACATACGAAAAATGATAATAGATCTCGTCGTTAATTAAATGAATTAAAAAAAATGAATATAGATTTTTTTTAGTGAGAGGTAAACCTTATGATAAAAAAGAAAAAGAAGAAATCATCTACTTCGGTATATGCTTTAGGGCAATATATATCTATGTCTGTCCACAAAGCACGAAGAGTAATTGATCAAATCCGTGGACGTTCTTACGAAGAAGCACTTATGATATTAGAACTTATGCCTTATCGAGGATGTTATCCCATTTTTAAATTGGTTTATTCTGCATCAGCAAATGCTAGTCACAATAAGGGTTTCAAAGAAACCAATTTAGTCATCAGTAAAGCTGAAGTTAACCAAGGAAATACTGTGAAAAAATTAAAACCTCGGGCACGAGGACGGAGTTACCCAATAAAAAGATCCACTTGTCATATAACTATCGTATTGGAAGATATCTCCTTCTATGAACAATATGAAGAATATTTAATGTATTTAAAAAAACCTGGATACAGCAATGAAAACATAAATCTAACATGTTATGATACATATAGTAGTGGAGGCCTATGGGACAAAAAATAAATCCACTTGGTTTCAGACTTGGTACAACCCAAAGTCATCATTCTCTTTGGTTTGCACAACCAAAAAAGTATTCTGAAGGTTTAGAAGAAGATAAAAAAATACGAGACTGTATTAAAAATTATGTCTAAAAAAATATAAGAATATCCTCTGGTATGGAGGGAATTGCACGTATCGAAATTCAAAAAAGAATAGATCTCATTCAGATCATAATCTATATGGGATTTCCTAAATTATTAATTGAAGATAAACCACGAAGAGTCGAAGAATTACAGATGAATGTTCAAAAAGAGCTTAATTATGTTAATAGAAAACTCAACATTGCTATTACCAGAATTTCCAATCCGTATGGGCATCCTAATATTCTTGCAGAATTTATAGCTGGTCAATTAAAAAATCGCGTTTCTTTTCGAAAAGCAATGAAAAAAGCTATTGAATTAACTGAACAGACGAATACAAAAGGAATTCAAGTACAAATTGCAGGACGTATCGACGGAAAAGAAATTGCACGTGTTGAATGGATCGGAGAAGGCAGAGTTCCTTTACAAACAATTGAAGCTAAAATTGATTATTGTTCCTATACCGTTCGAACTATTTATGGGGTCTTAGGAATAAAAATTTGGATATTCGTAGACAAAGAATAAAAAAGCATTATTTGTCTTTACATTTTATCCAACGATAAAAAACGAAAACTATGTAGTACAACACTATACAGTACAGTAATAAAAAAAATTAAAGTATTCTTTGTTTATGTTTAAGAAAAAAATAAGCAATTCTATAAGGTTGAATAAAAATTTTCATCAAAACTCTTTTGATACAATTGCTATGCTTAGTGTGTGACTCGTTGGTTTAGGATTCGATTAGATTAAGATAAAAAAAAAGAACTTACCTAAAAGAGCAACTAATAACTATAGCATTAATAAATAACCTAAGCAACTCATTGCTTCGCATTATCTGGATCCAAAAAAATCAGTCAAGATATGATAGGCTGATCATATCATTGTAGCAACTGAATAAAAAAAAAGAATAAATATGATTATAAGTTATGAAAAGTAATTGAAAAGTATGCGGATAAATGGAAGGATGAAAGAAAGAGAGAAAAAATTAAATATTAATGATATATGATTCCAATTTAGAAAGTCTATGAGGTCGCTGTAAGAAAAGCAATGTAATAAAGCATCAATACAGATTCATTCATAAGAATTAGATAAATCTGTTCCGAAAACAAAAAATGAAGAGCCTTGAGCCAATAAAAACTGAGAAAATTGACTCAAAAACAAATAAAAAAAGGAAATTAAAAATTTCATGTAAGAGCTCCATTGTAGAATTCGGGCCTAATGATTAATCAAGAAGCGATGGGAACGACGGAACCCATGAATATAGAGGATTCTAGTGAAAAACAAATTTTAGTAATTCATTGGACAAGATGGCGGAATAAACCAGAAACTTTATTATCTATTCTTATTTTGATTCTGAGACCTCGGGGGATAAACATCAAACTTAAATAGATATTGAAAGAGTAAATATTCGCCGGCGACAAATTAGTGTTTTTTTTTTCAAATAAAAAAAAGTAATAAAATATAAAAAAATATATATAAAAGAAAATAAGAATTTGTTAGAATATTCTAACTCTAACAAAAACTACATTCGAAATGATGTTTGATGTTTTCATAATTTTTACAATTTTTCTAGGTATCATTAATATTCCAAGAATTACTACACAACTTTTTTTTGAATCAACAAAAACAATTCTTGATAAATATATTTACAAGAATGAAGAAAATGGAGCAAAAATTAATAAAAAAAAAATACCATTTATTTTATTTTGACTATAAAAAATTTAATATCCAATAAAAAAATTGTAGTTATGACCTATGCTCTTTATCACAAGCATATGTATTTTACAAATTATCACAAATTCAAGTTAGTAACTTTTATAAATTAAAGGCTGTTCTTGAATATAACATATGCATAACATCCTTTTTTGTTAAGAATAAAATAAAGGATTTTTTTCAAGAACAAGGACTCCTTAATTATGAATTGAAAGATAAAACCTTTTTTAATTCGGAAGTCAATCCATGGAAAAACTGGTTACGAAGTCATTCTCAATACAATTTACCTCAGATTGCATGGGCTAGATTAGTAACCCAAAAATGGAAAAAGAAAATAAACCAGGACTCTACCGTTCTAAATCGAAGTTTAACAAAAGCAGATTCATATGAAAAAAACAAATTTGATAATTACAAAAAACAAAATTTTTTTGAGACCAACTCATTGTTAAACCCAAAACATAATTTGAAAAAAGATTATATATATAATCTTTTTTGCTACAAATCTATTAATTCTACAAAAAAAAAAATTTGACATGTATATAGGCATTGCTCTAGATAATTGTTTAGTCTCTTGTTTTCTAGAAAAATATAATATTAGGGGTATAGGGGAAATTCCGCATAGAAAATATTTGGATTGGAGAATTCTCAACTTTTGGTTTAGAAAAAAAGTCAATATTGAGCCCTGGGTTGATACCAAGAGTCAAAAAAATATATTAAGACTAACGTTCAGAATTATCAAAGAATTGATAAAATAACTAATAAGGATCTTGCCAATCCAAAAAGTTTATTTTTTGATTGGATGGGAATGAATGAAGAAATACTAAATCGTCGTATAACAAATTTTGAATTGTTTTTCTTTCCAGAACTTTTCTTATGTTCTAGTACATATAAAATAAAACCGTGGGTCATACCAATTAAATTACTTCTTTTCAATTTTAATGAAAAAAAAAATGTTAATAAAAAGACCACTTTAAATAAAAAAGGTTTGATACCATTAAACGAAAAAAAAACCTTCTATTTTATAATCTAAATAAAGAAGAAAAAGACTCGGCAGGTCAAGGAGAGCTTGAATCAGATAAAGAAAAAAAAAATATTGAAGAAAATTATGAAGAATCGACGATAACAAAACGTAAAAATAAAAAACAATACAAAAGCAATACCGAAGCGGAACTTGATTTATTTCTCACAAGGTATTCGCGTTTTCAATTGCGATGGAATTGTTTTTTTAATCAAAAAATTCTTAATAATGTAAAAGTATACTGTCTCTTGGTTAGACTAAAAAATCCAAACGAGATAGCGATATCTTCTATTGAAAGAGGAGAGATGAGCCTAGATATTCTAATGATTGAGAATAATTTCACTTTTGAAAAATTAATGAAAAAGGGAATATTGATTATTGGAACCTATCCGTTTATCTGTAAAAAATGATGGACAACTTATTATATATAGAACCATAGGTATTTCATTGGTTCATAAAAATAAACACAAAATAAGTAAAAGATATAAAAAACAAAGCTATATTGATAAAAAAAATAATTATGATTTCTTTGTCCCGGAAAATATTCTATCCCCGAAACGACGCAGAGAATTTCGAATTCTAATTTGTTTCAACTTAAAAAAAAAATGCGAGAGATAGAAATTCAAGATTTGATACGAATATTAAAAACTTGACCACAGTTTTGCATAAAAAAAAAGATCTTGATAATGATAAAAAGAACCTAATTAAATTAAAATTCTTTCTTTGGCCCAATTTTAGATTAGAAGATTTAGCTTGTATGAATCGCTATTGGTTTAATACTAGTAACGGAAATCATTTCAGTATGAATACATATGTATAAGCGATTTCAAATTCATTAATGATAGATCCTTTTTACTATATATAATATATAAGTTACGGTATATGAAAACAATTATATGCACAAATTTGAGGAATTATTTTAAATTAAATCCTTTATACATGAGATTCATTTAATCAATGACATAGATACCAATCAGAGCAGCTTCATAAATAAATTAAAAGAATCCTCCTTTTTTAGATCTAAATTTAGATTTTTTTTATAAAATTAAGAAGTTGATAATTAAATTCAGATCCTTGTACAAAAAACTACCATTATTATTACTGATCAGTAAAATTCATATCTTTCAATTCATAGTAAAAAATAAAAAAAAAGAAAGATTTCTTTTTATGATAAAAAATGCATTCATTTCATTTCAAGAAAAAAAAGAAGAAAGCAGGGGGTCTGTTGAATTTCAAGTATTAAGTTTCACTAATAAGATACGAAGACTTACTTCACATTTGGAATTGCACAGAAAAGATTATTTATCTCAGAGGGGTCTACGAAAAATTCTGGGAAAACGTCAACGACTGCTGGCTTATTTGTCAAAAAAAAATAGAGTACGTTATAAAGAATTAATTAATCAGTTGAATATTCGGGAATTAAAAACTCGTTAAATTCCAAAATTGTGAATTAGTTAATTTTTTAGATATTGAATTTTTTGATAAACTTCTTTTTCAGCAATCTAATTCATGCCAGAACGAATAAAGGAAAAACTTATGAAGAGACCAGTTACAGGAAAAGATCTTATGATAGTCAATATGGGACCTCACCACCCATCCATGCATGGTGTTCTTCGCCTAATTGTTACTCTACATGGCGAGGATGTTGTTGACTGTGAACCCATATTGGGTTATTTACATAGAGGAATGGAAAAATTGCCGAAAACCGCGCAATTATACAATATTTACCTTATGTAACGCGATGGGATTATTTAGCTACTATGTTTACAGAAGAAATAACAGTAAATGGACCAGAACAATTGGGAAATATTCAAGTCCCTAAAAGGGCCAGCTATATCAGAGTAATTATGCTGGAATTGAGTCGTATAGCTTCTCATCTGTTATGGCTTGGCCTTTTTATGGCAGATATTGGGGCACAGACTCCCTTTTTCTATATTTTCAGAGAACGAGAATTTGTATATGATCTATTCGAAGCTGCCACCGGTATGAGAATGATGCATAATTTTTTTCGTATTGGAGGAATAGCGGCTGATTTGCCTTATGGTTGGATAGATAAATGCTTGGATTTTTGTGATTATTTTTTAACAGAGGTTGTTGAATATCAAAAACTGATTACACGAAATCCTATTTTTTTAGAACGGGTTGAAGGCGTTGGGATTATTAGTGGGGAAGAAGCAATAAATTGGGGTTTATCCGGACCAATGCTACGGCATCTGGAATACCATGGGATCTTCGTAAAGTTGATCGTTATGAATCTTACGATGAATTTGAATGGGAAATTCAGTGGCAAAAACAAGGAGATTCATTAGCTCGTTATTTAGTACGACTTAGCGAAATGACAGAATCCATAAAAATTATTCAACAGGCTCTCGAAGGACTTCCGGGGGTCCCTATGAGAATTTAGAAAGCAGAGGCTTTGATAGAAAAAGGAATACAGAATGGAATGATTTTGAATATCGATTCATTAGTAAAAAACCTTCTCTTACGTTTGAATTATCGAAACAAGAACTTTATGTAAGAGTTGAAGCTCCAAAAGGGGAATTGGGAATTTTTCTGATAGGAGATCAAAGTGGTTTTCCTTGGAGATGGAAAATCCGACCGCCGGGTTTTATTAATTTGCAAATTCTTCCTGAACTAGTTAAAAGAATGAAACTGGCTGATATTATGACGATACTCGGTAGCATAGATATAATTATGGGAGAGGTTGATCGTTAAAATGATAATTTATGCAACAGAAGTACAAACTATAAATTCTTTTGTTAGGTTGGAATCTTTAAAAGAGGTCTATGGACTCATATGGATATTTGTCCCTATATTTTCTCTTATATTGGGAATCATAACAGGTGTACTAGTAATTGTGTGGTTAGAACGAGAAATATCTGCAGGGATACAACAACGTATTGGACCTGAATACGCCGGCCCGCTGGGAATTCTTCAAGCTCTAGCCGACGGGACAAAACTACTTTTCAAAGAAGATCTCCGTCCATCTAGAGGAAATACTCCTTTATTTAGTATTGGACCATCTATAGCAGTTATTTCAATTTTACTAAGTTATTCTGTACTTCCCTTTAGCAATCACTTTGTTTTAGCGGATCTCAATATCGGTATTTTTTTTATGGATTGCCATCTCAAGTATTGCTCCAATTGGACTTCTTATATCAGGATATGGATCAAATAATAAATATTCTTTTTTAGGTGGTCTGCGAGCTGCTGCCCAATCGATTAGTTATGAAATACCATTAATTCTATGTGTTTTATCAATATCTCTACGTGCGATTCGTTGAAACATAAACGTTTATTTTGACTATTCTGTTTCTTCTAGACGAATAAGTTAAAAAACGGACTATATATATTTATTTATCTTTCAGGTTAATCTTAATAAAAGTAATTTGATAGTTATATATGAGTGAAAAAAACTGCTTCTAAATTAGCAGTAAAAATAAAAATTGAATCTCATTTCCTATGTACAAAGGTTAAACGAAAATAAACATAAGCGTAAAAATAACTTTACCCCAAGGTTGGTTGATTAGTCATCCTGGCTTGAAGCAGGTTAAAAAAAAAGATTAACCGTATGACGTTTTCACTATCAGTTATAGTTATATAAATTAACATACATGTATTACAAAGTGAGCGGCAATTAGGTAAAATGAGTGGATGCTTAGAAACACCAAAATACACAAAGAATTTGTAATAGAGATTAATCAAATTGAAAAAGGATATTTATGCATAATATAAGATAACAAAAAAAAGAAGGTTAATTGGGGCTTGAAATTCGTAGAAATGATCAGACAGTACTCCCCAAGATTCCAATTCAGAGTATGCTCCTATCCACCGATAAATGTAATTACTATCAGAAACGAAATAATCCTTTATTTTTTAAGTCCACCAACTTTATTTTTTCGAAAAAATAAATAAGAAAAGGAACGAAACAAGGATATTTATTTTCATATATTTAGAAAATAAAATAGACTTTATGTCATGAATAAGAAACTAATAGGATGTCTAATTCTTTTTCGTAATTGAAAACTAAGACGGGCGGAAATACATATTTTTACGTTTTACTAAGGAGTATTTTATTAAAGGATTCAGTTATTACTCAACAATTAGAAATTAAAATTTGGAAAGGATGAGATGAATTCCGAAGCGCTTTTTTTATTCTTAAGAATTTTAGCAGACAGAATTCCATTGGTATAATTCGGGACCCCGAATATATTTTTATTTAATCCATTTTAGAACACATCATATCGATATAAATAATATTAATCCGGTCCTTAGATTTATTTATGGCCCCCGAGGAGCCGTATGAGGCGAAGACCTCATGTACGGTTTTGTAATAGCGGTGAGAATAGTAATGTTATCACCGACTATAATTATCTAACAGTTTAAGTACAGTTGATATAGTTGAGGCACAATCAAAATATGGTTTTTGGGGATGGAATTTGTGGCGTCAACCTATAGGTTTTATCATTTTTCTAATTTCTTCCCTAGCAGAATGCGAGAGGTTACCGTTTGATTTACCAGAAGCGGAAGAAGAATTAATAGCGGGTTATCAAACTGAATATTCCGGTATCAAATTTGGTTTATTTTACGTTGCTTCTTATCTAAATCTATTAATTTCCTCATTATTTGTAACAGTTCTATACTTAGGCGGTTGTAATATTTCTATTCCATATGTATCTATTCTGGAGCTATTTGAGAGGGATCCCATTTTTGGAACAACAATTGGTATCTTTATTACATTAGCTAAAACTTATTTGTTCTTGTTCATTTCTATCGCAACATGATGGACTTTACCTAGGCTAAGAATGGATCAACTATTAAATCTTGGATGAAAATTTCTTTTACCGATTTCGCTTGGTAATCTATTATTAACAACTTCTTTCCAACTCTTTTCACTCTAAATTGAAAATGAATCCAACATATTCTCTAAACAAGAGAAAGAAATAAAGATCAAATTATTCATAGATAATTACAATATGCTTCCTATGATAACCGGGTTCATGAATTATGGTCAACAAACCCTACGAGCTGCAAGGTATATTGGTCAAGGTTTCATGATTACCTTATCCCACACAAATCGTTTACTTGTAACTATTCAATATCCCTATGAAAAATTAATAACATCAGAACGTTTCCGCGGTCGAATCCATTTCGAATTTGATAAATGCGTTGCTTGTGAAGTATGTGTTCGAGTATGTCCTATTGATCTACCTGTTGTTGATTGGAAATTGGAAACTAATATTCGAAAAAAACGATTGCTTAATTACAGTATTGATTTTGGAATTTGTATATTTTGTGGTAATTGTGTTGAGTATTGTCCAACAAATTGTTTGTCAATGACTGAAGAATATGAATTTTCAACTTATGATCGTCACGAATTAAATTATAATCAAATAGCTTTGGGTCGTTTACCAATGTCAGTAATTGACGATTACACTATTCGAACAATTTTGAATTCACCTGAAACAAAAAATGGGTAAACCCATTAATTTTATTAAAAAAAGAATCCAAAATGGTTGAATTATATAAAGAATTTAATTAAAAATTTGTATTGTATTTATATAATAATATTAAGTATTTAAGGCGCATTCTTTTAATATAATATATTCGTAATTACTTTATTGAATTCTTGAAATGGATAGGTTGAAAATAAACTTTAGAATAAATAAAGAATAAAAAAAGCGAAACTGTCTAATAATTGTATCTACCTCAATTCATATCCATTAGATTCTAATTTTACTCTATTAGAAACATATTTAAAAAAAATTCCCCGGTTAAATTAATAAGGTCATGAAAAGAATTTCGATTTTTTTCTTATTTTAATAATATAATGGATTTGCCTGGACCAATACATGATTTTCTTTTAGTTTTTCTGGGATCCGGTCTTATAATAGGAGGTCTGGGAGTGGTATTACTTCCCAACCCAATATTTTCAGCCTTTTCCTTAGGATTTGTTCTTGTTTGTATATCTTTATTGTATATTCTATCAAATTCCCATTTTGTAGCTGCCGCACAACTCCTTATTTACGTGGGGGCCATAAATGTTTTAATCATATTTGCTGTGATGTTCATGAATGATTAAGAATTTCCACGGATTTAAATCTGTGGACTGCTGGAAATGGGATTACTTCATTGGTTTGTACAACTATTTTTTTTTCATTAATTTCTACTATTCTCGATACGTCATGGTACAGGGTTATTTGGACTACAAGATTAAACCAGATTTTAGAGCAAGATTTAATAAGTAATAGTCAACAAATAGGAATTCATTTATCAACAGATTTTTTTCTTCCATTTGAACTCATTTCAATAATTCTTTTAGTTGCTTTGATAGGTGCAATTTCTGTGGCTCGTCAATAAAAAAGGTTCTAATTAGTAAAGACCAAAGAAAACTTTTTGTATGTTATGAAATTTTTTTTACTAATATAGGTTTTATTCGTACTTTTTTTATATTTTAATTGATTGAATCCCGTGAATTTTTTTTATTATTCATATTGAAATGAATCAAAATTAATAAGGAGTTGCTAAATGATACTCGAACATATACTTGTTTTGAGTGCCTATTTATTTTTGATTGGTCTTTATGGATTGATCACGAGTCGAAATATGGTTAGGGCTCTTATGTGTCTTGAACTTATACTCAATGCAGTTAATATTAATTTCGTAACATTTTCTGATTTTTTTGATAATTCCCAGCTAAAGGGGGATATTTTCTGCATTTTTGTTATCGCAATTGCAGCCGCTGAAGCAGCTATTGGATTAGCTATAGTCTCGTCAATTTATCGTAACAGAAAATCAACTCGCATCAACCAATCGACCTTATTAAATAAGTAGCATAAATAAAAAAATTATAGGTTGAAATTTGCATATATGATAGGTTATTACTTACTAGATTATATTTCTAGATTATATTTGTGAAAATCTAAGAAATCAAAGTATTTTAGCCCGATTTTTTATCAATTGAGCCGGAATTAATTAAAAAATTCTATTAAAGGAAATCATTGCTTCATCTAGTATTTTAATATATCATTTAGTTAGAAGTTTACTAGATTGAAAATTTATGACATTCAAAAAACTATAGATCCTATGTCACATTCAGTAAAAATTTATGATACCTGTATAGGATGTACTCAGTGTGTCCGAGCGTGCCCTACAGACGTATTAGAAATGATACCTTGGGATGGATGTAAAGCTAAGCAAATAGCTTCCGCTCCAAGAACCGAGGATTGTGTTGGTTGTAAGAGATGTGAATCTGTATGTCCAACGGATTTTTTGAGCGTTCGGGTTTATTTATGGCATGAAACAACTCGAAGCATGGGTCTAGCTTATTGATACGTTACCGAAAACCTCATTTGAATAAATTTAGAATACATTTTATTTTTTTTATTGACAAGTACTCGTACTCAAAAAAGTGAAATTATATTTTTTTTATTTATATATTTTTTTTGAGTACGCGTTCTTTGGACCTGGTGTATCTTGTCTTTACCACGAATGATTTTCCTTGGTTAACAATGATTGTTGTTTTTCCAATATCGGCCGGTTCGTTAATGTTATTTCTCCCGCATAGGGGAAATAAAGTCAATAAATGGTATACTATATGTATTTGTATATTAGAACTTCTTCTAACGACCTACGCCTTTTGTTATAATTTTAAAATCGACGATCCATTAATTCAACTGTCCGAAGATTATAAATGGATCAATTTTTTTGATTTTTACTGGAGACTGGGAATAGATGGACTTTCTATAGGAACGATTTTACTGACGGGATTTATTACTACTTTAGCTACTTTAGCGGCTTTTCCAGTTACTCGGGATTCCCGACTATTCCATTTCCTTATGTTAGCAATGTACAGCGGTCAAATAGGATTATTTTCTTCTCGGGATCTTTTACTTTTTTTCATCATGTGGGAATTAGAATTAATTCCCGTTTATCTACTTTTATCTATGTGGGGTGGAAAGAAACGTCTGTATTCAGCTACAAAATTTATTTTATACACTGCAGGAAGTTCTCTTTTTTTATTAATAGGCGTTTTAGGTATAAGTTTATATGGTTCGAACGAACCAACATTAAATTTAGAACTATTAGCTAATCAATCCTATCCTATAACACTCGAAATACTATTTTATATTGGATTTCTTATTGCTTTTGCCGTCAAATCACCGATTATACCTTTACATACTTGGTTACCTGATACCCACGGCGAGGCACATTACAGTACCTGTATGCTTCTCGCTGGAATCTTATTAAAAATGGGAGCATATGGGTTGGTTCGAATCAATATGGAATTATTACCTCACGCCCATTCTATGTTTTCTCCTTTGTTGATGGTAGTCGGTACAATCCAAATAATTTATGCAGCTTCAACATCTCTTGGTCAACCTAATTTAAAAAAGAGAATAGCCTATTCTTCTGTATCTCATATGGGTTTTATAATTATGGGTATTAGTTCTATAACGGATCCTGGGCTTAATGGCGCTATTTTACAAATAATCTCTCATGGATTTATTGGCACTGCACTTTTTTTCTTGGCAGGAACGAGTTATGATAGAATTAGGCTTGTTTATCTTGATGAAATGGGTGGAATGGCTATCTCTATTCCAAAGATATTTACAATGTTCACTATCTTATCAATGGCTTCTCTTGCATTACCGGGCATGAGTGGTTTTGTTGCAGAATTAATCGTTTTTTTTGGAATAATTACCAGCCAAAAATATTTCTTAATTTCAAAAATTTAATTATTTTTGTAATGGCAATTGGAATGATATTAACTCCTATATATTTATTATCTATGTCACGCCAAATGTTTTATGGATACAAGTTAATTAATGTCAAAAACTTTTCTTTTTTTGATTCTGGAACCCGAGAGTTATTTCTTTCAATCTCTATTCTTCTACCCATAATTGGTATTGGGATTTATCCTGATTTTGTGCTCTCATTAGCAATTGACAAGGTCGAATCCATTTTATCTAATTATTTTTATGGATAGTTTTCAGGAAAGAAAAAAAAGCATTAAATTGAGTTGTAATCAGAAGTCTTTGGTTTTTGTATTGTGAGAACCTTTTGAATCATTGTACTACTTGATTCAAAAGGTTCTTGATGATTTACTACTAAAAACTAAATTAGATTTATTAACTTAATATGATATGAAGTTATATATAGATGCTATTCTTTTTTATTTGGATTCCTTTCTTTTTTGGTTAATGTTTTATTTAATTCGATGTAAATGAACCATAACTATGTAAACCTATTCCTAAAAGATTGACGCCAAAATAGCATATCCAAATTAAAAGAAAGCCTATCGAAGCCACAATTGCAGAATTTATACCCCGACCATTCCTATTTGTTTTAATATGTAAATAAATTGTGAATATGGTCCAAGTAATAAATGCCCAGGTTTCTTTTGGATCCCAACTCCAATATGAACCCCACGTCTCATTAGCCCATACAGCTCCTGAAAGAATGCCGACGGTTAAAAAGATAAATCCAAAACTAATAATACGAAAACTCCAAAAATCTAATTGTTCAATCAATTGATACCTATAATAATTTATAGAAAAACTAAAATTAATGTTTTGTTGTAGTAAAATAGAATTTCTTTTATTTATGTAGTAAAGTACATCAAAAGAAAATAATTCATTTAATAAATTTTTTTTTTATATATTCTTTTTCCAAAAAGTAGGTCCAACTTTTCGAAATGTAATGACTAGAAGAGCTATTGATAATAATGATCCGCATAACAGAGCTCCATAGCCTAATATCATCATACTTACGTGCATCATTA